TTTAAAGAAAAGCTTTTCGCTAAAATTGATGGTTTTCCCTGCAAAGTGAAAAAACTGTTTTCCTCACTTATTTGTTTAAATAGAAAAGTTAGCTAATAAAAGTTTTTGACTCACGAGACGAGAGATGTCTTGTATTATGTTCCTTTAGACAATTTTACAATAATCTAGCGGATAGGACTTTTTTCGAGTAAAAATTTAATTTGCTTGGTCTACAAAGCAAAGGAACATGTGTTTGAAACTGGGTTTAAATTAAAAATAAACTGAAAATAAACAGAATCTCTTAAATCTGATGTTAGTTTAGGATTTTTTCATCTGTTAAAAATATAATGCCGTCTTTAGAAGTCATAAAAACCATTACTTCTAAAATCTAAAATTTTATTAAAATAAAATACGCGACAGAGTTAAACCATTAAATTTTTTATCTTCTTGTGCTAAGTTGTAATCGATACGAGAATTTCAACATATTGGTCTTTTGAATCTGTTAAAACGAATAATAATATACAATTTCTTGGGATTGAGTAGCTCGTACTTCAGCCCCTTCAGCTATTTGTTACAATTTTTAGGTTATAATTTTAGAATTCGAACCAAATGTGCAAAAATCATCACAAAAATTTTACGATTTGTGCTTACACTGCTTACCACTTTAAACCATTTATCTAGGCTTTAGACTATTTGTAAGGGAATATGGTACAGTAATAAAAATTTACACAATTTCAAAAGGAAAAAATTAGTATAAAAATAGTCCAGATGAAAGAAATCATAATTTGGTTACTATTTTTTTCTCTAACACAGCACGCGCCATAGATTGCAGATATTTGCACGCGCTCTGCTTATAACGTCATCCGAGACCAGAGCCTGTTTTTGTAAGTACTTTTCAACTTTTCTGGCTATTTTCTATCTTCAAAATTAATATTAAAAAAACAGTTGGTAATTTAGTGAAAATGAATCGCGTAACATTTATATAAAGTACATTTTTTTTATAAAACAGTTATTCTTCGTTCTTTTACATTTGTAAAATGAAGTTGAAAAATATTTTCAAAAAACATTTGAAATAATTATATGTATCTATATCGCTCATACCCATTTTCTTTATTAAATCTCTTTTCTTACCCAAAAAGTCTTTTTTTTGTTATTCATTTTTATTTTTGAGTTTCTTGCCGCAAATATTTTTAAAAAATTCATATTCGATCCCTTAAAACAGCGAATTTTGAGGTGTGAAAAGATAACAATTCCAAATTCAAAACTTTAAACATAAATAATAAACATGTATAATTATCATATCACAACAATTTATTTAAAAACTACAATGGGATTAAATAACACATTTAGAACAAACTTAAAACCTACATACAAAGAGTCCAAGGCATTACGGACATTAAATTTAGATTGACTAATAGTTTTCATTTCAGTGAGCATATTATTCTGACAAGAGATACACCCTAATTCTTCTAAATTAACGTGCGGTTTGAGACCGCCTAGAATCCCATCGGAACCCTCAACTTCGTTGTTGAAAAGTACACCCTTAAACCAAATGTGATCGGTGGGTTTCAATTTAAGAATAAACGGTCTGAAGTAATCGGAAGTTACCAGATTTACTTCCGTGGCTTTACCCCATATACCAGACTGCATTTTTAAACTGATCTCGAAGGTGTACGCATTGTACTTGTGTAACGTACACCTGTTAACCGATTTAATGGTATCGTAAAAAGAAATGCAGTCTTCTTTGACAATATCTGGCACGTTTTTGCATTCCGATTCGATTCCATCACCGTAAACACAGTACAAATAGTCCCTGAAGTTCTTTGGAAACTTGTCGAATATATTCTTGTACATATTAGAGATGGATTTTACTTTAATTTCGTTTATATAACCGTTCCAGTGGATGTAACTACCTTCCAACTCGGCACATTTCATTTGCGACAAAGCTACGTTTTCTTCCTGCCAAATCGGCTGGTGACAAAACTTTTGAAACACCTCCCAAGTCATTATCTGAGGGGCTTTATTTTTCACGTAGTATTCAGTATCGTGTTCGCGGCTCGTCGAGTTTATAAGCACGATAAACGCAAACAGCATAAGAACAATCTGTATAACGGCAGTGTATTTTCTGTAACGCGTCAACGCACACACGTAACAAATACCTATTCCAATCACACTCAGTATGACGAAAATGCATATGGTATATATAAAATTCGAGGTGACGATCCACTTTGTAAGCGCTACGACCGGCAAGATAACGCTCGTAAGCCCTACCAAAGGCAGGAAAAGGACGAATCCGACCAAGGCTAAGGTCCCCCGTAAAAACCCAAACATCGTCGCGCCCTGGGAGCTTATAATACAAATCTGTAGCCAGCTCAGCGTCACACAGTGCGGTATCAACGTCTGGTAAGTGCCCTTCCAGTTTTGTCTCGAAGCTATTCTTAAAAAGAGCAAAGGAATACAAGCGTAGAGGATGAATTTGAATGTGATGCAAAACTCTATGCCGTTACCGATTACGTAACTGGGAAACGTGGGAACTTTCAGCTCTAAAAATCTCCAGCCTTGTGCTACGACAGGGTCTGTTTCGTAGGGATATTTCGCGAGAACGTTCACAGCAAAACTGAATAATACTAAGGTGTCGAATACTGTTTTCGATCGACTTTTAGGCATGAATCCTAGCAGAGTCATAAAAGTTAATAGAAACGCCACTATAGTTAGTTCGGACTGAGGGATCCACTGCTCGGAAATGACTGGGTAGACGACCAAATTTATCAGTAAAGCTAAAAAGAAATGTCCATAGGGCCGTAAGTTATTACGTATATACTGATGCTCCATTTCCTCGGCATTCAAACACCCGCCGGAATAACAAATAAACAACCCGGACCACAATCGGAAGTCTATAAAAGCTCTCTGATTTTGCAGCATCTGAAAAGTGGTGCAAAACATAACGACGAAGGAAGCGTAGTACAGACCCATCGGAAGGAAATATAAAACGTTATCCGAATTTACAAAAACGTACACGAACATTAATATCAGCAGCTGCAGTTCCGACATGGACAAAGGAAAGAAAAGCGACAAGGTTTTATGCCCCAAGAACTTAATCAACCTAATGTATAGTATTTTTAAAGCTAACAGTGGATGCAGTATAGACCTATGTACAAACGGGATATGATCTAAAGCTCTTAAATTCGGGTCGGACAAGCACAACATCCTGTTAACGATCGGGAGGTGTCCATGAGAGTAGTCGACGGCAGCAGACACTAAATGGTCCTCAGTTAGCTTCTCGTTATTCAAGTCGGACTTTTGTGACCAATCGATGTCTTCACTTGAATCACTCATATCATCAAAGTCATTCATTACATCACCGTTTGGGGTATTCAGGTGGTCAATGTCGCTTGTTTCCGTCGATTTAGAACAGGTCTCTCCTTTGTCTATAGACAGGATTTTTCTTTGCAGTTGATCGGAGGTGATATAGTCCCCTCCATTAGACAAACTAAAAAATAAAAGTCACAAAAGAGAAAGGAAGAATAAAAAAATTAAAATGTTGGATTACTGAAGGACTCTAGATCAATTGTAATAAGAGAAACATTATTCCAGAGAACTGCATGAACATATAGGAAATCATTAGTGTTTAAAAAAAAATGCAAACATGATTACTACAGTGAGTGCTTCTGTCTTAAATGGAACAGAAAAAAATGGTAACTGTTAAGTTTATAGAAAAAAAAACAATAAATTAATAAATAAAAATAACAGCTCTACTTATTCAAACAAGCAATAGAAACAAAAAACAATTACCTGGCAAACATTTCTCTAGCTGCCTTTCTCGCCAGTTTCTCATCCTGGGTCATAGAGATGCACGATTTCACATCCATATAATTGTGTTCTGTAATTCCCTTTCCAGTCTCTAAGCATGTTTTTAACAAGTTGGTTGCCTCAGTATTTCCCTGTTCAGATGCTTTTATTAACCAGTACACACCTAATCTAGCGTTTTCTTTTTTCTCCGATTCAAATTCTAAAATAGTTTGTTACATATTTGCTGGAAATGTCCAACTATAAACGGTCTTACCGCAAGGTTCATCCAATAATTGTTTTGCAAGAACTACTTGAGATTCCGGACATCCATCCGAAGCTAATTGACTTCTCAATCGTTTAAGGGAGCTCTTGGAGCCAGCTGAAACAAAAATCGCTTCAAATTGTAAGAGTTCCACACATTTCTAGAGCTTATTTTTATTTTGATAAGTTATTTACTTGACACAGACCAGGTAATGGTTAAAATTTTATTCATTCTCAGTAAATTACCGTGTAATGTCCACTGTTTTCGCCCAGATGTTGACTTCTTTGGTACAACACCGGCCATGATTCATAAACACATTACTTTAAATAAATAAACAAGAATTTACATGTCAATTACTGTCATTATATTATTCGATTTATTTACAAAAAAAATCTGACAACGTACCATTGAACTCTGAACACAAAACAAGATATATCAGTTAGTTACAAAGATATCCTTAAAGAGGGCCATTGCCAACTGCCAATCAAATTTCCAACATTTCCAAAACTATACATATTCAGTTCCTCACCTCAGTGCGAACAGCCGAGCTGAGCGGACGTGCTTGTTTGTGAGGTGAAGTGATTGCAACGAGCAAAATCT